GATTAACTTTTTGGCCATGTTATGGTCCTCTGGTAGTTTTCCCTCTCGTATGTAGTCAATGTTTCGTCCATCCAATTTTATAGGTATTCAAAGTGGATCGTCCACTGGATGGAGTAATCTACATTCGAGGCTAACCTGGTAAATGCGTCAGTGTGGTTGTTCCTCTCTTTTGGGGATTTTTGTAATTTCGTACCTTTTGAATTTTTCTACTAGTGTTTTGACCCTATTTAGGTAGAGTCCCATGGTAGGATGATGGGTGGTGTAGTCTTCTATGATTTGATTAACTATGAACATCGAGTTACAATGAATTAGCAGTTTCTTTACCTAGAGTTCTTCTGCGACTCTGAGCCCTATTAAGAGGGCATCGTACTCTGTTTCATTGTTGTTTTCCTCGTACTCTATTTCATTGTTGCTTGCCTTAACCTGAGCTTCAAAGTCTGCTCAAGTATGAATCCCTCTGGTGTTTGTAATACCATTCATGCGCCAACCCCATGTGTGTTGGATGATCCATCTACGTAAAGCTTCCAAGAGCGGGGATTTTCTAGAAGGTTGTGGGGACTTGTTGTGCCCGCAGTATTTTGAGCTGCTGGAGTGAATTCAACTACAAAATCCACTAGTGCTTGAGCTTTATTGAAGTCTTGGGTCGGTAAATTATTTTGTGTTGCCCTAGTTCGATAGTTTATTTAGTGACTCTGGACGAGGCTTCGGGGTTGTGCAAGATGGATCTTAGTAGATACTCCGTCATGTAGACCACTCTGAATGACTGAAAATATGGCTGGAGTTTTCTGGTTGCCATTACTAGTGCTAAGATAAGTTTTTCCACTTTCTAATATCTTATCTTTGGTTCGAAGAGCATTTGATATATAGTATACTGGTTTTCTGCTCCCTGAGTCTTCTTGGATCAGAGCTGCGTTTATTGCATAGTTAAATGCAACCAAGTACAAGTACAAGTCTTCTCCATCGACTGGTTTGGATAGTAGCGGGGTTTGGATAAGTATCCTTTAACCTTCGTGAAGGCTTATTCATATTCATCTGTGTAGAGTAGACCCTTACTTTTCTTTATTGCTGTAAAGAATCGTTTGCACTTGTCAATCGTGAAAAGAATCTACTGAAGGCTATCGCTCGCTTTAGGCTTTGTATTTCCTTCATGGTTTAGAGCGATCTTATCTCTATGATAGCCTTGATTTGGTCTGGGTTAGCCTCAATTCCATACTTAGTAACCATATAACCTAAGAATTTGCGTGATGCTACTCCGAAGGTACACTTTTCTGGATTCAGCTTCATGTTGTACTTTCAGAGCAGGTCAAACGACTATTGGAGGTGTGTTATGTAGTCATTATTCTCTTTTCTTTTGACAACCATGTCGTCTACGTAGACTTTGATTGTGTTTTCGATCTCTTCGTTAAAGATCCGATTGATGAGTCATTGGTATGTTGCCTTTGCATTCTTAAGTCCGAAGGATAACTTTATAGTAGTATGTACATGTTGCTTCCATGTCTGGTTCATACATCTTTATCTGGTTTTACCCAGAGTAAGCGTTCATGAAGCTTAGGAGCTCGTGTTCTGCGGCTAAATCTACTAAGAGCTCGATCTGTGAGAGTGGATACGGATCCTTTAGGCAGGCTTTATTCAAGTCTGTGAAATCTACACATACCTTTATTTTCCATTCATTTTTTGCAACAACATTACATTTGCTAGCTAGTCTTTGTGGTGGACTTCAATGATAAACTGGGAGTCTTTGAGTTTATTGATCTTTTTCTCTATAATCTTACTTCACTCTATTCTGTGGTTGTTTACACTGGATAACTGGTCTGGCAGTTGGGTCCAGACGGTGGCAGATCACAGAATGATCGATTCCTGGTATGTCCTTTACTAGCCATGTGAATACTTCTTTGTTAGCCTATGAGAAGTTAGTCAACAATTCTTTCTCTCGGTCGATTAGCTTCAAGCCAATCATGGCTTTCTGTTCTGGTCTGTAGGGATCGAGGCTGATATATACGATGTTGTCTTCAGCCTTTGACTTCAGTGTAATGTCATCTTGGAGGTTAAGATCTAGGTCGAATTCTTTGAAACTCGTCTACTGACCATTTGACTGTGATTGCTATGTTGATTCGTACATGTGGGTGCTCAAGCTTCATTTTTTTTTTCTGATCATGTTCATGCTTTCAACAGTGTAACAATGTGCCGCTAATTGATCTCATTTTATTAGTTTTAATATGCCGGGAGCCGTGTAACAGAGTAACTAGTGGTAAATGGATGGAACAACCTTCAGTGTAACCAATTCCGACCAAGGAGGCGCTGTAGGGAGTTGGGCAAACTATTAAGTGGAAGGTCACCGGGTGGTTATAGGGTTCTGCTTGGACCATTAGCTTAACTGTCTCTAGAGATTGCACCGGTGCCCCGTTGAAGGTGTGAAAGGTTGTATTCCCTTGTTGATGCTGTCGAGAATTGATAAGCTCATATCTATATATATTTTACATCAAATTCACTTGTCTTTTCTTAGTTAGTTCCTTATATTTTTGAGCTATTTACTTTGTTTTTGTGTTTTGTACGATTTGTCAAGTAAAGAAAAGAAAAATAGCACAAGTGAAATTTTAAGTAACAAATTCGTCAAAACTGCCTGTGCACGTCAGCTGACTTTGGAAGCAAGTTGCGGACAGCTCAGAATGAATTAGAGAATGAGCCTTATATTCTTGGAAAGCTACGGATGTCTATTTTCTGGAGCATTTCGCGGATTGTTAATATCATTTTTCTAGAAAAAGTTATGGCCGTTTTAATACTGAAAGGTTCCAAAGAGGCTGAGCAGTTTGTAACTGACAAGAAAGCATTGAAAGCAATAAAGCCAATAAATTTAGCAGCCAAAACTGATGCATTCAAAAACAAACCAGCTGACACCTATTCAAATATCAGAGGAAATGGAATTAAAGATGAAGATTAAGAGGGAGTAATTGGCATAAAGACTACCCAAGGAGTTACAATTGTTTTACATTTCCTCTCACTCATTGTCATCACTAAATAGCTATTAGTGGGTGAGTTAAGGAGAAGAAAATGATGCAGCAAGAATTGGTTTAAAAGTAGCATTGGGAAGGAAGGAAAGAGGAGAGAGCCTTAGTCGATTTCTTTCGATTCTATTTTCTCAAACTCATGTCTATCTTCTGTTTTAACTTAAGGATTGTGTAACTAGATTTTTAGTAGTTAGGGGCTGTTTTGAAGCCCCAAATATGATTGCAAGTTTGTTATGACATTTCGTTTGAATTACTTTTATGAATGGATGAAAATTGGTTCACTACTTGTCTCATTGATGAATTTTTTATGTGTTTTCTACGGATGCATACTTAGTAAGCATATCTAGGATTCTAATGCTATGAATATGTGTGTGCCTGCCCTTGTCGAATGAGGACCTACATATGTTCTAGAGTAGTACTTGTTAATTGCGATTAACATGTGAACCAATTTCTAGGATAAGTAAGACAACGCCAGTACTTACGATGCCTTGTGATGACTCAAACTTTTTTTGCTCTTAATGATTTCTACTTGTTAGATCTATGAACATGTCATTCTAGATTGCATGCTAGGGACTAAGTTAAGTTGAAAACGCCATTCTCTTAACATACTACATAAGAAAGAGTAATAGGTTGAGTTCTAACATTGAGCCAACTTGAGCATCTTCATCCAGAAATAGAAGGAATTTGAATGAAACATAACATTTTTGCATGATTATTTGGTGGTGGATAGCAATTCCCCTAACTCGTTTTTCTTAATTTGCGAACTACTTAAAATCTGTTTTTGTCCTCTTTTTGTTCGATTTAATTTAAATAGCAAATCAACTCCAAAAATCCCAAAAATTTGTACAAGTGTAGCTCTGTGTGTCTAGTATCTGCATATAAAATTTTGTAGACTTTAGATAAGTGTAAGTCGGTCTAATAATTATTTTTCGGTGGCTGGCCAGTAGGGACAGCAGCCCTAGTTTTTGTGACATTTTAAGTAGTTAGATAAAACAATCTTCTGCAGGAAAGACCCTTATTTTCATATGCTACAATTGACAAATTTTAGTGTTAACAAGGAAAATCAATAGGACATTTGTGTGCTACTTTGTGGTGTGCTTTTAATCCCATCAAGAATCCCTATCTTTTCAGCGGCATCCTTAAAGAGAATGCTAACTCCTGAGCCATTATCGACCAAGACGCGACGCGGCTTACCAGGGCATTAGAGATTTGAACCTTAACAACGAGGATGTCGTCATGAGGCGATTGGATATCTTCCAAATTACTGTCAGAGAACATCAAGATATTGGAATCGATCACCAGTGGCTTGTTGATGGTGGCCACCATTCTTGGTTTCTTGCAAATAGCCTTTCTTTCTTTTTAGGTGTTCCCAAAATATTCTTGTTTTTCATATATGCAGTTCACCTTAGAAGACACTTCTCCCCTTGAGCACCAAACATGGTGGAGACCCAGAAGCCTCTTGGACTTCCTACAATGTTCCTTAGGGATAAGAAGTTGCGGTGGCTCCTCAGAGGTTAGATCAATTATTTCCGTCCTTCGAGTAGCCAACTTTTCAAAACGAGAAACAACTTATTTAAGGTCTTTGACACATGCCTTCATGTCGGCAAGTCTATGGGTTCTCTAGCCAGTAGGCTTTATCGAACGCCTTTTAGAGATAAGCAGATTTCCATGACGTTTTCCCACATCTCGCCTATGACAGTAATGTCATCGTACTTATGGTGGATATTGCGGAGGGGGGGGGGTAGCAAGACCGTCATTGTTAACTAATCTTTCTTACATGTCAATTGGTAGAGTGATCTGGTCGATGAGATTTTTGTCATATTGTTGTGCATGTTGTGTGCACGGTTTGTACATGTCCGTAAAATCCTATTTTGGTCCCAAGATTAGGAAATTGGGGCATTGGCAATGGTGCTAGGAGGCGGCGAAGTTGCTGATGATAGCAGAGTATGGTGGTGGCAGGAGTGGTGGTACCAATGAGTGTGGTAGTGGCCAGTAATGGAGTTATTAAAAGGTGGTGGGGATAATGATGGCGAAGATGGTGAAAGTGGTGGCGGCCATGGTCAGAGGGGGGTTAACAATGATGGTGATGTGGTCGTGGAAATAGAGTTGTTGGGAGGTGGCGGTGGTGGTGGAAGGGAGAAAGGTGGTGGAGATGGTGACGTGGATGTGGATGGGTTAATAATGATGGTTAAAAGGTGTCGGTGGCATAGTTGTTGGGAGGTGGTTAAGGACTAAGGTGATGATAGAGGTGGTGGGGTGATCATGGTGGTAGTAGAGTGTTAGCGGCGACAATATTGTAGTTGGAATGCTGGTTGTGAAAAATAAAAAACTGTTTTACAAAATGTTATTAAACATGTTATTGTATTGCAAGAGGAGTGTAACTTGTTAGAGAGAATTCAGCCTTGTACATAAGTTCCGAGTTAGGAATTACGTCACACCCTATGTCGCTCGTATCCGAAAAGGAAAAAAGAAACATATGTTACTAAACACCCACGTGTGCATTTGCATAAATAATACTAGAGAAGGAATTAGATTCCAAATCCAAACTCCACCAAGAAAGTTGTATGAAAGTGAGATAAATGCCTAATAGTGTAATAGAAAGGCAATAGAAAGCCCTATCTACCTTTCTTTACTGAATGCTAAGCACAAAACACAAAGCTAAAGAATCATTCTAACAGCTTTATATAACAAAACTCACATTGTTTGATTACGTCCATAAGAAGTAAAGCCTTAACATTCAAGACACTAATCAAGTTTTGTTGTGATTTCATATCATGATCTAAATTCGTTCATCTAACAGCCTAGCACAACCATCAAGTTGGTTTTGTAAGATGGAGGGCTCAACATCAAAGGCAGATATCATCATAAAGTCAATGCTTAAAGCAGCTATGATTCCTTTAGCTTTGTCAATGGCTGGTTTCATCTATGCCAAGATTATGGCTAACCAAAGCATCAATCCGAAAGGGTCGTCAATAGAAACTGATGATCAGGTGAGTTACCTCAAGGCCAATTCTCTGAAGTGTAGAGATGAGGATGTTTTTCATAGTTTCAGCTCTACATGTATGCTTTTAACGGAATGTTTGGAGATTCGAGATAATCAACAAGTATTAGAAGAAGAGATTTCGTGCCTAAGACTCCGACTTAATGAGCTTCAAAAAATAGAATCTAAGTTGAAGATGCAGTTTATACGCTACTGCAACTTGAAAGAGCAAGAATATGTTCTTATAGAGCTTTCGAATATGTTGTTATTGGAAGTGGCTCATGTTGAGTTCTTGGAGAGAGAAGCTTCATCCATGGAGGCTGAGAGCCAAAGGCTTTAGAAATTGGTTGGAGAATGTTTGAGAGTTTTGGAGCAAATGGAGTATTGGAAATCAGAGAATGGATTGCTTCAGAGGAAGGTAAAGAAGCTTTTGAGGAAAGCAAGAAGGCAATATTGTGTAATACGCGAACAAGACTTGAAACTTGAAGCTAGGGAAGCAGAAGCTTTGAGAATCCATGATGCACAAGAAACAAAGACAAAGGTTATCAAGAAATTGGAGTATGAAACTGGGGAATTGAGAGCGGTTTTGGAGCTAGTGCAGGATGAGAAAAAAGGGCTCTTGGCAAAGCTTGCGTTGGCAGAAAAATCGGCAGCTTCAATCCCCAAGGTGAAAACACTCTTCTTCAAAGCATAGAGATCACATTTTGCAAAAGTTCAAATTCCTTTGGTTTATAATAATCAAACAACTTAGCTAATTGCAATTAAATGATCAATAATTTAATACCTGTCAAAAGATAAAAGAACAGTTATATACATTGCTTCCTGATAGTCTAACCATTTTGAGGTATCAAAAAAATGCAGACTGAAGGAGAAGGGGTCAAAATCAAAGACTATACAGGCCTCGAAAAGGAGTTGGAGAATCTGAAAAAGGATCGTGCAGCTGAAATTAAGGAACTGATTTACTTGAGGTGGAGTAATGCTTGCTTAAGGCACGAGTTGATGAGAAATCAAGCGCAACTAGAATAGCAGGCTCAAGAAAAGGATAATAAACTGGAAATAAATTTTGAAGTACGAGCAGAAATTGGAAATTGTGAGCAGTGCTTTGGAAATATGAGCAGCAATCAGGAGCATCCGAAAAGAAAAAAGTTATTCAGAAGGCTTAAGAGATGGGTGGAAGGGAATGAGAAGGGAAGAGGAAGATTGGATGAGAAAGAAAGGCATGGACAAGTTAAGTGTTTTGGAAGACATTCTGTTTCGAATTATGCAGAGGAGCATCACATTGCAAGGAAGTCTTGCTCTAGTGCATGAACACATAATATTCGACTTTGAATTAACATATAACATGTCTCAGGGTGGGCCAATTTCTCTTTTAACTGAAATCAGTAACCTGTAAATTGTACTGATATCTACATTCATATGAAATCTTTGTAAAATATGCCTTAATTATAAATCTCAATAACGAAAGCGTTCAATTGAAATTTTCTTGGCATGAATAGAACCCCTTACGCTACAAGATGAGAAAAACCTTGATGTCACGTGTACATTTTTCAAAATTATGGTTCTTTTTTAAGCCCTGGGCTTGAGGAGCTTCGTCGTCTCGCAAGTAAAGTTTGGATCGTGGCAACCAAAGTGACCAAAAGTAGCAGTCTTATGGTACCTGAGGTTGCCTCATTTTTCAAATCAAGGTTGATGGTAATTGTTCTTGGCCTGAAGTCAAATTGCTCCTTAATAATATATAGCATGTCCTTTTCTAGGATTTTACTAGTTTTTAAGGTGTTAACATGCATTGATATTGGTTCTGGGACGCCAACTGCGTAAGAAACCTCAATATATACTACACTTTTTGCTACCTGCCTTACAATATAAGCACCACCGCGATCAACCTTGGTTGGATCCTTCCCTGAAAATACACCACCATGAGCACCCAAACCACACCATAGGTATCCATACTTATTATAGAATTATTAGAGAGACGGGCTAAATTCTCAATTCCAACAACACTGATATTGTGCCCAACTTGTTAATTACCACAATCTATCAGGTGTGAGGTTTTATCACAAAAGCCTCGGTATTAGTTGGAGTGGGGTTTAGGATATTTAAACTCTCTTTTCTCACATATATGGTCGAAGTGGAATATTTCCACGCTTATATGATGACCAGTGATCCCAACGAGTCCACAGGCTTGCCATTGACAAATGTACTTGAAGGGTTGAAGCAATAAATGGCTTTCAAGGTATTGAGTTGGGACATGTTTAACCACAAACTCATTCAAATCACTAGCAATTCGTTCATTCATGACACTCAAAAGTGTTTAATGCTTTAACTAAATCATTTGCCCTTCAGAACAAACGTACATTATTGACAAAATGATGGCATCCCTGCAAGAAGAGGCTCACAAAAGCTTTACCCCCTTTTAAACACGACGGCAATTTCCATGAAACGTGGTGTATAACTCTTTCTACCTATATCTCTCCTCGTGATTAAGAAAAAAAAAACTAATGAAAAGGGCTTGAAAAATTTTAGTTTTAATAAAAAAACCATGTTATAAGTTTTGTTTAATGATTAGTACAAGACTCATATTAAAGTAGTCCAACTTAAAATGGCCCAACTATAATAAATTATGATTTGTCGATTTTACCCTAACTTTTTTAGGTTGAGTTCCAAATTTTCGTTGTTAATGGAGTTCATCATTGTTTTGTAGACCTTCTTCTTTTTCTTCGAAACAAAATTATAGATCCTCATGCTATTTAATTTATATTTTGTATTATTTCGTTGAAATGTGATCGTCATTATTATTCATAGTGTATTTGAGGTATTATTTTTCAATTTTTCATCATCAGTGGAGTTCATCGTTTGTTTCTCCAAAAAATAAATTTGAGATATACATGCTATTTAATAATAAAAACGGGTCATTATTTCTAGATTGTAAAAATAAACTGTTTCTGGATATTAAGTAATATTGTTTATGGAATCTAAGTTACTGTTTCTGGAATTTAAGTCATTGTTTCTGGATCCAAATGAAATAGACACATTGTTTCTTAAATGTAAGTTAGAAAAGAAATAGTGAAATTCATTGCATTTGGATTCAAAGCAAAATAAACACCTTGTTTCTTAAATATAATCAACTGATGCATGAAATAAAAGACAATCAAAGGTTAAAACATAGACTATTTCTGGAACTAAGTCACTGTTTCTGAAATTAAGTCACTGTTTCTAGATTTTGGTTATTTTCTTTCCAGATACAGTGTTTGTTTGTGCACAGACAAAACAAACACTGCATCTGATTTTTTTTTTTTTTTTCCAGAAACAGTGTTATATTTTGGGTTATCCAGAAACAGTTTTATGTTTTGGTTGTTTTTTTTTTTTTTTCCACACACTTTTTCGCTGGTTTTTGCCATTAAACTTCTTTGACCTTGTTTCGGTTGCTTTGTTTTGATGAATGCTTCATTTTTCAACTTTGATTTGAACTTTGATTTGGTTGTTTAAAATATAGATACTCATGCTATTTAATTCATATTTTGTATTATTTCGTTGAAATTTGATCGTCATTATTATTTATAGTGTATTTGAGGCATTGTTTTTCAATTTTTCAAAATCAGTGGAGTTCATCGTTTGTTTCTCCAGAAAAAAAAATTGAGATCTGCATGCTACTTAATAATAATGACGAGTCATTGTTTCTGGACTACAAAAATAAACTATTTCTGGATTTTAAGTAACATTGTTTCTGGAATTTAAGACACTGTTTCTGAATCCAAATGAAATAAACACATTGTTTCTTAAATGTAAGTTAGAAAAGAAATAGTGAAATTCATTGTATTTGGTTTCAAAGCAAAATAAGAACCCTGTTTCTTAAATATAATCAACTGATTCATAAAATAAAATAAACCATCAAAGGTTAAAACATAGACTGTTTCTGGAACTAAGTCACTGTTTCTTAAATTTAAGTTACTGTTTTTGGAATTTGAGTCACTGTTTCTAGATTTTGGTTCTTTTCTTTCTAGATACAGTGTTTTTTTATGCACAAACAAAACAAATACTGTATCTGATTTTTTTTTTTCACGAACAGTGTTATGTATTGGGTTATCCATAAACAGTTTTATATTTTGGCTCTTTTTTTTTTTTTTTTTTTTTAAAGACATTTTTCACTGGTTTCTGCCATTAAACTTCTTTAACTTTGATTTGAACATTGATTTGGTTGTTTTTAAAATGGAGGAATTCGATTTGATAGGAAGACATGGAGTTATTATGATAGTTTCATGCTGGGTTGAGGTTGGTGAAGAATCAAGACAATATCAAATCATTTAGGGGTATTTATAGAAGTGTAGATTTGTAGTGAGTTAGGCTTGTAAGTTTGATCAGTGGAAAATAGTTTTGGATGATTTTGTATTAAACTTTGAGCCCTTTTGGTTAAATAACATTTTGGGATGGTTTTTGATTAAATAATTGTTGGCCCAAGCCCTTTTAATTAAAGCAAACTAATGAAAAGGGCTTGAAAAGTTTTAGTTTTAGTAAAAAAAAACCATGTTATAAGTTTTGTTTAATGATTAGTGTAAGACCCATATTAAATTAGTCCAACTAAAGATGACCCAACTATAATAAATTATGATTTTTCGATTTTACCCCTAACTTTTTTAGGTTGAGTTCTAGATTTTCATCATTAATGGAGTTCATCGTTGTTTTGCCGACCTTCTTCTTTTTCTTTGAAACAAAAATATAGATCCTGATGCTATTTAATTTATATTTTGTATTATTTCGTTGAAATGTGATCGTTGTTATTATTCATTGGTATTTGAGGTACTATTTTTCAACTTTTCATCGTCAGTGGAGTTCATCGTTTGTTTCTGCAGAAAATAAATTTGAGAGCTACATGTTATTTAATAATAACGACGGGTCACTGTTTCTGGATTTTAAGTAACACTGTTTATAGAATCTAAGTTACTGTTTCTGGAATCTAAGTCACTGTTTCTAGATCCAAATGAAATAGACACATTGTTTCTTAAATGTAAGTTAGAAAACAAATAGTGAAATTCATTGTATTTGGATTCAAAGCAAAATAAGCACTATGTTTCTTAAATATAATCAACTAATGCATGAAATAAAAGAAACAATTAAAGGTTAAAACATAAACTGTTTTTGGAACTAAGTCACTGTTTCTGAAATTTCAGTCACTGTTTCTAGATTTTGGTTCTTTTCTTTCCAGATACAATGTTTGTTTGTGCACAGACAAAACAAACACTGTATCTGATTTATTTATTTATTTTTTCCAGAAACGGTGTTATGTTTTGGGTTATCCAGAAACAGTTTTATGTTTTGGTTTTTTTTTTTTTTTTTTTTTCCTTCCCACACACTTTTTTGCTGGTTTTTGCCATTAAACTTCTTTGACCTTGTTTCGATGAATGCTTCCTTTTTCAACTTTGATTTGAACATTGATTTGGTTGTTTTTGAAATGGAGGAATTGGATTTGATAGGAAGACATGAAGTTATTATAGTGATTTCGTGCTGGGTTAATGTTGGTGAAGAATTAAGACAATATCAAATCATTTAGAGTATTTACGGAAGTGTAGATTTATAGTGGGTTGGGCTTGTAAGTTTGACCTGTGAACAATAGTTTTGGATGATTTTTTATTAAACTTTGAGCCATTTTGGTTAAATAACATTTTGGGATGGTTTTGGGTTAAATATTCGTTGGCCCAAGCCCTTTTCATTAAAGCAAACTAATGAAAAAGGCTTGAAAAGTTTTAGTTTTAGTAAAAAAACCATGTTATAAGTTTTGTTTAATGATTAATACAAGACCCATATTAAAGTAGTCCAACTAAAGATGAACCAACTATAATAAATTATGATTTGTCGATTTTACCCTTAACTTTTTTAGGTTGAGTTCCAGATTTTCGTCATTTTTGGAGTTCATCGTTGTTTTGCGGACCTTCTTTTTCTTTGAAACAAAAATATAGATCCTCATGCTATTTAATTTATATTTTGTATTATTTCGTTGAACTATGATCGTCGTTATTATTCATAGGTATTTGAGGTACTGTTTTTCAACTTTTCATTGTCAGTGGAGTTCATCGTTTGTTTCTCCAGAAAATAAATTTGAGATCTGCATGCTATTTAATAATAAAAACGGATCATTGTTTTTGGATTGTAAAAATAAACTGTTTTTGGATTTTAAGTAACACTATTTCTGGAATCTAAGTCACTGTTTCTAGATGTAAATGAAATAGACACATTGTTTCTTAAATGTAAGTTAGAAAAGAAATAGTGAAATTCATTGTATTTGGATTTAAAGCAAAATAAGCACTCTGTTTTTTAAATATAATCAACTGATGCATGAAATAAAAAAAAAAATCAAAGGTTTAAACATAGACTATTTTGGGAACTAAGTCACTGTTTTTGGAATCTAAGTCACTATTTCTAAAATTTAAGTCATTGTTTCTGGAATTTAAGTCATTGTTTCTAAATTTTGGTTCTTTTCTTTCCAGATATAGTGTTTGTTTGTGCACAGACAAAACAAACACTATATCTAATTTTTATTTTTTTTTTTCCAAAAACAATGTTATGTATTGGGTTATCCAGAAATAGTTTTATGTTTTGGTGTTTTTTTTTTTTTTTTCCCACACTTTATCGTTGGTTTCTGCCATTAAACTTCTTTAACCTTGTTTCGATGAATGCTTCATTTTTCAACTTTGATTTGAACTTTGATTTGGTTGTTTTTGAAGTGGAGGAATTCGATTTGATAGGATGACAGGGAGTTATTATGGCAGTTTTGTGCTGGGTTGAGGTTGGTGAAGAATCAAGACAATATCAAATTATTTAAGGGTATTTACGGAACTGTAGATTTGTAGTGGGTTGGGCTTGTAAGTTTGACCCGTGAACTATGGTTTTGGATGGTTTTTTATTAAACTTTGAGCCCTTTTGGTTAAATAACATTTTGGAATGGTTTTTGGTTAAATAACATTTTGGTCCAAGCCCTTTTCATTAAAGCTCCCTAAAAAAAATACAAACACTAAGTGGGATGGGATATATGAACGCTACTACGCTTGATCTTGTACCTTGTCTTCCGTTAGGTGAAAGTAGTTCAAGTCTTTTTTTAAGGACTCTTTTCAAGTTTTCCTAAATCTTCTTCTTCCCCTTTGGCCATGAACCTCTATCTTACAATCACATCTTCTAACCGGAGAATTTGTTCCCGGTTGAACTTTGAGGATTAAAATGATTTATGGATATTGATCAAACATCTGTTCTTGTGATTAAAAAAAATGTGTTCCTGGCATATTGATTAAAATGGTTATTATTGTTTAAATTAAAAAAATTAAATATTGACAGCATATCGATCAAATACTGGAAAGTGATCAATTCAGCATATAAGATTTGTAAATTTGTACACATCTCTTGCAACATCTATGAAGATTAAGGATGTCGAGAAAAGCTACTGTAAGTTTGAACATGGGCGTTGATGAGGAAGCTGTCTCTATAAGACTATGCCCTTCGATATGGGAAAAAATGGACAAGAAACTTGAAACACAAGTCATTACACCACGTGCCATAGTACAAGTAGAGAGAATATATTTTTCATTGTCCCTCCGCTTGTATTACAACACATGATGTGCCAACCTTTGTTCTGGACACTAAAAGATCCTCAAAAAGTAGAGAGATTCATCGATACAACCGGATCACGGCACCTGAATATGTATAACGTGAGGAGTATACAAGAGGCCAATATTTTTCCATAAGCTTTCTTAAAGTTTTTTATGCTTTAACTAAATCATTTGTCCATCCTCAAAACAAACCCAGAAAATGGACAAAATGATGGCACTTTCACTGCAATAGGCTAACAAATAGGACAAATATCATAAGCACTAAACATGTTTACTTACCAGAAAATGGCAGCTTTGTACCGCTTTTTAAACCCGAGGGCAACTTTCATAAAACGAGATATGTAGGTACTATTTGTTCTCCTTAAATTGCCCCCCACCTGCCCTCTTCATTTTTCATTCACTCAACCCAACCTTTTCTTCCATATCCCTTCTGTGTTTGGCCAGTGAGTTTTTCACTGTTGGAACAAACAAAAGCAAATGGGGATTTCAAGTGAACTCCTGGCTTTCTTGAGCATTCTTGTGCTGGTTTTCGCAGCGGCTCGGGCGGAACCTCTGGTTCCTGCTTTTATCATCTTTGGGGACTCCGTTGCTGATGTGGGCAACAACAACAACCTCACTACACCCATCAAGGCAAACTTCCCTCCTTATGGAAGAGACTTTGTGACTCATAGACCAACTGGAAGATTCTGCAATGGAAAGCTTGCCACAGACTTCACTGGTAAATAACTTTTTACCTACTGTTTTTTATCCTCCCTTTTACTTGGAGATAATTAGTTTATCACTGCCTTTCACAGCTGAATATCTAGGATTCACCTCATACCCGCCGGCTTACCTTAGCCCAGAAGCCAAAGGGCAGAACCTCCTGACCGGAGTCAACTTTGCATCAGCTGCTTCTGGCTATTGGGATTACACACCTTTCTTATATGTAAACAGTAAAAACTCTCTCCCTTCCTCCCTCCCCCCCCCCCCCCTCTCTCTCTCTCTCATGCTGATCACTGTTGGTTTTGCAGAATGCACTTTCGCTGACCCAGCAACTGAATTACTATAGGCAGTATCAGAATGAAGTGGTGAGAATGGTGGGCAGCGACAATGCCAGTGCCATATTCTCCGGTGCCATCCACCTTCTAAGCGCAGGGATCAGTGATTTCATTCAAAACTACTATATCAATCCCCTTCTTAGAATCTACTCACCTGACCAGTTCTCAAACATTCTCATTAGATCATACTCCACTTTCATTCAGGTCACTCCACAACTCAGATTATATACTATTTACTTTCTCTTTATCCGAAAATAAATGGAAAAGAACTTTTTCTAGACTTCTGCAACTTCTCATAGAAGTGCTTTTTCCAAACAAAACATCATATTGCATTCCTCTCAACTATTTTTACGTAACAGTTAGTATCAAACCTGGTCAGATCTTTGCTATATCTAGTTATTGGTTTTGTCCATGATCCCCAAAAAAGAAGAAATAATCACATTACTGAATGATGTTTGCTGACCAAACCTAAATGTATGTGACACAGAACCGATTTAAATGCGTAGTGATCATATAGACTTAGATTTGCATGATGATATTAGTGGGTATGTTTGATACAGCAAATTGTGCATCAGTCTATCTGTTTCTTTAAATACACGCATGACATAAGCAGCACATTGACAGAATTTGTATGCACTTGGAGCACGAAGGATTGGAGTCACAAACTTACCACCAACTGGGTGTTTGCCAGCAGCGATCACAATGTTTGGCTCTGGAACCAATGAATGCGTCCCAAGGTTAAACCAAGATGCCATTTCTTTCAACAATAAGCTAAACAGCACATCTCAAGATTTGAAGAATAGGCTTCCAGGCCTCAAGCTTGTGGTCTTCGATATCTTCCAGCCTCTTCTGGATATGATTATGAATCCTGGTGATAATGGTAAAGCAATTCTCTGTTGAATACTTAACCAATCAACAAAATAAAAACTATACTAGTTACAAAATTTCATTATCTAGAGAAAATAAAAGATGTTAATGTTTAATTTTTGACATTTCACCAATGTTTTAAAAGGCTCGCCTCAGGGCGTGCCTAGGCTTCCTCTGAGGCTGGGCGTGAGGGTTGCCACCTTTGTTTTTAGGGAGTGGACGGAAGGCGTCGCCGGAGTTGCCTCGGTGCGCCTTAGGGGTTTTTTAACTCCCAAACCCAAAATTTGGATAGGGTTTTAACTGCCTCATACCTCTTCCTTGCACTATCGTCTCTTTGCCTTTTTTTTTTTTTTTTTCTGATTTTTATTTTTTTATATAATGGATGTGTGTACTATTTGCGTGCATTGTTATATGTGTGCTCATTGTGCTTTTCATCCTCTATTTTATATATAATATATATAATATAATATATGTATATATATATGTGTGCTCAGAGTGATTATTGATTAATAATCCTTTTTTTTTAATATAATATGTGTACGCTCAGTGTATTTATTAAAAAATTTAAGTCCTATAAGGCTTCATCTCAAGCCTCACACCTAGGTCAGGCTATCCCTCGGACGCCTCGCCCACACCTCACGCTTTTAATACACTGCATTTTACTGAAGACAAAGTTCTCTCCCCTCCCATCCAAATCGTTGCTTAAGAACAAAAGTAGTTCTAGATAGTAAATATTAAGGGAAAAATTCTCAGCTTCCACTTTGGCGTCTTGTAAAATATATTTCCTCTTTAACTTACACATTAAACCATCATTCAGCAATCAGCATTCACAAAGCAAGACCACTGCATGAATATAATAAAAATCTGTTTGAGCTAAGCGTAGTGATTTTCTAATATTTCTGTGATGTAATGTGACAGGGTTCTTTGAATCGAGAAGAGCTTGTTGTGGAACAGGTACATTAGAGACCTCTGTGCTTTGCAACTCTAGGTCTGTAGGAACATGTACCAATGCGACTGGTTACGTGTTTTGGGATGGATTCCATCCCTCTGAAGCTGCTAACGAGGTCTTAGCTGGAGATCTACTTCAACAGGGTTTTGACCTCACATCTTGAATCTATTTCCAAAGCGGCATAATCTAATACTACTGCACTCTTTTTATCTTATACAATGTTATATGATAATATATTGGTACTTAGTGGCTTTAGTTCAAGAATTTAGTTTCCTCAGAATGTGAAGTTGCTTTGCTATTCATGTAAGAATGCCACTCCATGTTCTCACTATGAAAGTTCATGGGTTTAGATCCCTAGTGTTAATAAGATCGTGATGCAGTTTGGTAATCTGTTCTAAGTCAGTGAAAGTAAATCCCGTGCATGAACCTGAAGCTACATAACTGATGCTTACTCAATGATTTGCCAAATCTTTTTATATATGAAAAGGAAAAATGAAAACTTACAAGGCAGTCATTGGGTGTAGTTACCATCTTATCAGATAATTTAAAGTATTTCTCTTCCGTTTCTAATATCTTCTATCTTCTGTCTGGATTCTCTGGAATGACTAATCTGGACAAGAATATGAGGTTATGGGTTATTCTCTGCCAAGATGGGTATGACCTATATGTAATAGTTTATGCCTTTAAAAATCCGTACCATGACAATCAAAATTCACCTTAGTTCTGTATGTAACCGGTGAGAAATACTGTTAGTACAAGATAGGATTAAGGTTCAGTAAGGCAAGAAGAAAAAGGTATTAGCTGAGACCTTAGGAAAGTTCAAATCCTGCATTGGAACTGATTGCATAGAGAAGTTTGTCTCTCAAAGTGCTTGGACGTTTGTAAGTTGGAAGCTGCAGGCATCACATAGGATGAAAAAAATAAGTGTTATTTGTAGCCGGAAAAAAATGAGCATAATTGGCCTACAGATATACGGTGTAGTCTGGTAGCATTTCTGAACCCCATCCTTTGTAATGTTATTGATAAATTAGAAGGGATAGGGGGTATTTCTCCCTTTATTGTACCTTCAGAGTATTATAGCAAGTTGAAGCTGATGGAAGCCGCTCAACATCGTGTCCTCTCATTGTATCCCAGATAGGGATATCACACGCAACCTATATAAGACCAAATTCTTGAGTAAGTTTGATAAATTGATTGTATATACTCATACATATACGTAGATGTAAGATCAGTAAGATCAATTAAGATACCTTATGGATTGTAAAAGTAGGTTGCAGGTGCTTGAATCCAAGTAATGGAGCTCAAGAACAACTGGTGACGAATTTCAGAAGCATACAACGTTCTTTAGGTTCAAAACCCTTCATAACCTGTGATAATGGTATGAAGAAACTCAATAAAACATAAAAGGATTGTAGGCATCCCACATAACAAATGGGCGCTTATTAGACAAGATACAATACAAATACCACCGTTTATTATGAAAAAACAAATAATACGACTGTTCATTCAAAAATCAGATAATGATGAAAGTTAACTTGCTTCTCTTCTGATAGTCAGACATGAATCAGCACTGAGATGTTGGGAAGAGAGAGACAGCATAATAAGTTTATATGAGCATATGGGGTCTTGAATGTGTAACAGATGATAGGCCACAAATACAGAACTCCATATTGCTTCATTCCAAAAAAAAAAAAAAAAAAAAAAAAAAAAAAAGGAGGGAATATGTATTTTACAAGAACCATTTTGGAGAAACCACTAGTGTACGTTCTTAAAACAAGGAAACCTAATTCCACGAATTTATATAGGCTCGTTCAACCTCAAAAGATGAGTCAATACCTCCCAAAAGATTTTAATCGTTTGGCTCCCGTCGGAGTAACCACCAGTGTACCTTGTGTTCTTCCTTGAATCATCAAAAATCAATGTCATGGTTTCCACCCGAAAGCAACTGCATAAAGTAATTACAGATCAGTATTTGACACCAACTGAACTCATGCGCATGAAAGTTCAGCAATCTTAAAGGAAATGTGAATTTGAGGACTTAATACTGGACCGTAATGACCAGTTACACTACCATTATGAATATATATTTAATGGTAAAATCAGGATAGAAAACTTATAATTATTTCCCACCCAGAAAATCTGGGGATAGAATAACTCTACAGAGGGATCCGTTAGTTAAAGTGACTATTATATTTTAATTCCCGTGGTCCCTATTGTCAGATTTCAACATTTTTCTTCTTGCCAAATAGCTCTTGGTTAATGGCTTCTCTTCCCAACGTTGGAAGAGGTCACAAGTTCGACCCCCCTTCCCGCATTGACCAACAAATAAAACTCTGGTTTTCCCCTTCAAATTCGCTGCAAGTGAGGAACAATTCTGCTACTCTTTTTAAAGCCATTCATATTGATATTTTTTTTCCAAATTGTCACCTTATCAGCCAGATATATAAACCAAAGACAGAACAAAGTACAAAAATGATAGTCCATTTTTATGTTTTTACTTTTCTACTTGTGGGATAAAAAAAAGGGACTACTTAAACTTACACGTTTTAAGATGATCAATATATTGAGCATAAGACTAATTGGCACATTAGGTTACAAGAGAAGCATATTTTATATGAGTACAATCATAGAGAAATGCACCCAGCAGTCATACATTCACATTCACTAGAATTACAAGCAAACCCATGCACTGAGGGGGTTACCTGATTAAATTCACCTGCATTAAATAGTTTTAGCCAGGATGGTGATATGAGATCAGCTAACCCTCTATAGAATGCATTTGAAAAAGGAAATATCTGCAGTTCAACATTGAAACAAGGTAATTTTTCTCACCAGTAATAGTAAATTGTTCAAAAAAAAAAAAAAAAAAAATCTTTTCCTTAGTTGAACCTGAACAAAATATAAACCTGTCGGTTAAGCTTATAATCAGCAATTGCATGAATGTCTTGCATTTTGTTCTTGTTTGTCACAGTAGTATCCTTTCCACCAGGCTTAAGCTCAATGACATGCCGTTTCCCAAATGATTCTTTAGTTACTGTAAAATCAAGACAGAGTTCCTCCACATCACCATCATAGTGCTGCGATAACCACACAAGTAAGGATCAAAAGCTTTCAAGAAATGAAATACGCGACAGAGCATTTCAATACACGTAAGACAAACTTAATTTGGAATGGAAACTTCCAGATACCTAAAGCTGGACATGAACCAATATATTTATCTCAAACATTTCAGACAAAGCAACCAAACTCACGTTATTTCAAAGAGTTTAGGTAGCAATGCCACCATATGGACCCTATGAAGTTTACATTGTTGTGCCTTGGCTGATTATCTCACCAACATACAAACCCACAGTTGAATAGTTTAAAATACAAGAAATAAAGACACCGAGAAATTTACGAGGTTCGGCAAAAACCTGCCTACGTCCTCGGAGAGATATTGCTCTTCACTATGAGAAAAACAGTACAAGTTACACATGAGTTAAATCGACATAACCCAATCCCATATCCCTTGTACACCCACTCACAGAATTTTCCCAAGAGCCTCACTCTACCCCAAGAGTTCCTTACTCTCACTCTCTAATTTTTTCTTTTGTTCTCCTCCTTCTACTCTCTTTTCACTCGGCAAGCCTTTAAATAAAAATCAGCCCCTTTTCTTCTCCTCCTTTCTTCCACCCGAAAGCCAAATAATTATGGCTTTGAAAAAGCCACAAAACAAGGAACAAGACAAGCCACAAAACAAGGAACAAAACAAGCCACAAAACAAGCCACAAAACAAGGAAACATAATCCTCATCATGATGTTCCCTCATCAATTTTGTTTTGTTTCCTAGCCTAATTTGGCCACTATCCAACAATCTCCACCTTGGCCAAATTCCGAAAACATCACAGAGACTCGAATCAACAATCACCATAAGCACCCAAAGTACAAACTAAAGACAACGGTAACTAAATCAAATTCCCCAAACTTTCTGGTACTCATAATGATCTCCACCTCGACTCAAACTGTACCAAAGTCCATTGGCCTTACGTACCAGCATGCACACTCTGAATCAACCTCGTTGGTCCTATTCCGATTCAGTCACTGCCAATGCATGTGTAGCTGCTGCAAGCAAAAAAAAAACATTTAGCTTCAGACAGGATCTCGACACATCCTCGTCTCCTCCAGCAGGTTTTCCTCCTCTTCATTGTCTGCAACTTGGAAACTTGTCAGTGCACCCATTTCCAGCAACACCCGTCGAGCCAGACAAATATTCCTCACACTTCTCATTCTTCAGGACCATCTCATCACCTGTGAATCCCATAGTTCCACCTGCTGCAAAACCCCTGCAACACTTGAGACTATACATCACCAGGAGATGTGTTGCTTCGAGTACCTAGAGGGCATACTCGAAGTCTTCCGCCACAAAATTGCTGCTACCTGGACCAAGATCATCCTTTCTTTTTCTCAAAGGACAATTTATCTTTTTATGCCCGAATTCTTTGCAGTCATAGCATTGTGGTCCCTTGCCTTTGGAGCTTGATTTGAACCTGCTGTCTCTCTCAAATCCTCCTCCCAATTTTCTTCCATGATTCCAACCAGTGGCGGATCCAGGATTTTAAACTCGAAGGGTCCCAATTATAAAGGTCAAAAAATTTATAGACAAAAATAACATTGAAAATTTAAATATAATACATTTCATTTAAAAATCATATGCAAAACAATATTACAAATTATAAAATCATAATTCAAGCGTCCATTACGAGGTTTCATAAGTTACTAGGGAGTACCTAAGTTATTGATTATCTAATATGAACCACTAAATTTAAAGGGGTGTGCTATTCACACACCCCTTTTTGCGTCTCACACACCCTTTATTTATTTCTGTCATTTGATCTTTTTTTAATTCAGTCGATCCGACGGCCGCAAATTAAGAAGGTGTGTATGAAGTAAAAAGGGGTGTGTGGATAGCAAATTAAAACACCGGTCAAATAAAACTCTTCCCAAACTCCCACTATCTTTCTAACCAAACACACCATTTTTCTCTTTTACTAGTTTCCAAACATCCACCTTCTCTCTCACTAAGAACAAAGCTGCCATACCTCGACTAACCGCCTCCCTCCCCATTCTCCCGAAGCCATGGTAGCTCCACCACCAAATTTCGCCAACCCATGACAGATCATATCC